CAACAAAGATCAAAAGAAGCAAAGAAGGATATTACATAATGATAAAAGGATCAATGTAACAAGAAGAGCTAACGATCCTAAATACATACGCACCCAATACAGGAATACCCAGATATATAAGACTTATAAAGAGACTTAGACTCCCACACAATAATAGTGGGAGACTTCAACATCAATATCAGACAGATCAATGAGACAGAAAGTTAACATCGGTATCCAGGACTTGAACTCAGATCGGGAACAAGTAAACTTAATTAACATTTATAGAACTCTCCACTTTAAATACACAAAATATACACTTTTATCAGTACCACATCACACCTATTTACAGGTTTAAATGAAATATTGGTTGGCTGTTTGTTAGTTATTTTCTTCCCTCATTTTTTTTTTCCATGTCTCTATTACTAAACACAATTACAGGCATACCCATTTTTAGACTGCATTCTAGCCTGGGCAATAAAGCAACACCGCAGTTCTCTCTCCCTCTCCCTCTTCCTCATTCTTCCTCTCCTTCATTTTTTCTTTTCTTTTTTTTTTTTTTTATTCTTTCTCTTTCTTCCTTTCTCTCTTAAAATAAATAAAGAAATAGTGGGGCAGCCTTGTGGGACTGACCTTGTGAAATCTTGAAGCTGTCTTCACAGGGTTAACAAGAATACTAGACAGACATATATTTAAAATTCAGCATTAATCACGCTGGGCTGGGTGCAGTGACTCACACCTGTAATCCCAGCACTTTGGGAGGCTGAAGTGGGTGAATCACAGGTCAGGAGATGGAGACCATCCTGGCAACGTGGTGAAAACCCGTCTCTACTAAATATACAAAAGTTAGTGGGGCATAGTGGCATGCACCTGTAGTCTCGAGTGCTTGGGAGGCTGAGGCAGGAGAATCACTTGAACCCAGGAGGTGGAGGTTGCAGTGAGCCGAGATCGCACCATTGCACTCCAGCCTGGTGACACAGACAGAGACTCTGTCTTAAATAAATTAAAAAAATAAAATTAAGCATTAATCAGGCCGCACTTAGGCCCACACTTCTTGTAACCAAAAGTCACTGCAGCACTAGATACTGACCATCTGCATCCACTGTTCCTATAATAGAATGTCTGATGTTAGAATCATAAAGCTTTTGTTTAAGAATTGCTTAAGAGGGGCCGGGCGTCGTGGCTCATGCCTGTAATCTCAGCACTTTGGGAGGCCGAGGCAGGCAGATCACCTGAGGTCAGGACTTCAAGACCAGCCTGGCCAACAGGGTGAAACCCTGTCTTTAAAAAAAAAAAAAAAAGAATTGCTTAAGATATTTTTTTAGATCCTAATTCCAGGGGAACAAGTGATGCCAAATAGTTTAAAGACTCCTGACCAGGTCCGGTGGCTCATGCACTTTGGGAGGCCAAGGAAGAAGAATCACTTGAGCCCAGGAGTTTCAGACCAACTTGGGCAACATGGCAAAACCCTGCCTCTACACAAAATACAAAAATTAGCCAGGTGTGGTGGCATTCGCCTGTGGTCCCAGCTACTCAGGAGGCCGAGATGGGAGGATTGCTTGAGCCTAGGAGATTGAGGCTGCAGATTGCTCTACTGTACTCCAGCCTAGGTGACAGAGCAAGAAAGATACTGTCTCAAAAAAACAAAAACAACAACAAAAAACAAGCCAGGTGCAGTGGCTCATGCCTGTAATCCCAGCACTTTGGGAGGCCAAGGTGGGCGGATCATCTGAGGTCGAGACCAGCCTGACCAACATGGAGAAACCCTGTCTCTACTGAAAAAATACAAAATTAGCCAGGTGTGGTGGTGCATGCCTGTAATCCCAGCTACTCAGGAGGCTGAGGCAGGAGACTCACTCACTTGAATCCAGGAGGTGGAGGTTGCGGTGAGCCGAGATTATGCCTTTGCACTCCAGCCTGCACGACAAGAGGGAAAGTCTATCTAAAAAAAAAAAAAAAAAAAAAAAAAAAGACCAGGCACGGCACAGTGGCTCAGGCCTGTAATCCCAGCACTTCAGGAGGCTGAGGTGGGTGGATCATGAGGTCAGGAGATGGAGACCATCCTGGCCAACATGGTGAAACCCTGTCTCTACTAAAATATAAAAAACTAGCCGGGCATGGTGGTGGGCGCCTGTAGTCCCAGCTATTTAGGAGGCTGAGGCAGGAGAATCTCTTGAACCCAGGAGGCGGAGGTTGCAGTAAACCCAGACCACGTCACTGCATTCCAGCCTGGCGACAGATCAAGACTCCATCTCAAACAAACAACAAAAAGCCAAACATCAAAAAACAAAAACCAACCAAGCAAAACTCCACACTTTGGCCCACTCCAAAACCTTTAAAATCCCTAACCCCTTCAGCAGAACTTTGAAAAAGAAAAAAAATTAAAATAAATAAATAAATAAAATCCCTAACCCCGGCCGGTTGTGGTGGTTCATGCTTGTAATCCCAGCACTTCAGGAGGCTGAGGCAGGCAGATCATGAGATCAAGAGATCCAGACTATCCTGGCCAACATGATAAAACCCCATCTGTACTAAAAATACAAAAATTAGCTGGGTGTGGTGGCGCACACCTGTAGTTCCAGCTACTTGGAGGTTGAGATCACTCCACTGCACTCCAGCCTGGCGACAAAGCGAGACTCTGTCTCATAAAAACAAACACAAAATCCTCAGCCTGACCAGGCATGGTGGTTCATGCCTGTAATCCCAGCACTTTGGGAGGCCGAGGCAGGCAGATCACCTGAGGTCAGGAGTTCAAGACCAGCCTGGCCATCATAATGAAACCCCGTCTCTACTAAAAAAATTAGTCGGGCACAGTGGCAGGTGCCTGTAATCCCAGGAGAATTGCTTGAACCAGGGAGGGAGAGGTTGCATTGAGCCGAGATCATGACCCTGGGTGATGGAGTGAGACTCCATCTCAAAAAAAAAAAAAAAAAAAAAAAAAATCCCGGCCTGCGCCTCTGCGGTTGCGGTTAGGTCCAGAGGTCCCTAGCGGGATGGTGCCTCGGTGCCAGGTTGAAGTATTGTATTTTGCAAAAAGTGCTGAAATAACAGGAGTTCGTTCAGAGATCATTTCTGTGCCACAAGAAATAAAAGCATTGCAGCTGTGGAAGGAGATATCCTGGATTGGCTGCTGCTAGAAATCAGGTCATATTTGCCGTTCGTCAAGAATATGTCAAGCTTGGAGATCAGCTCCTCCTGCTTCAACCAGGAGACAAAATTGCTGTTATCCCCCCCATTAGCAGAGGGTAGTGCTTTTGAGCCATATAGAGGAGATATGGATGAAGTTGAAGAGAAATCTAAAAACATTATAAACTTTACTGCCGAGAAACTTTCAGTAGATGAAGTCTCACAATTGGTGATTTCTCCGCTCTGTGGTGCAATATCCCGATTTGTAGGGACTACAAGAAATAACTTTGAAGGGAAAAAAGTCATTAGCTTAGAATACGAAGCATATCTACCCATGGCGGATAATGAAGTCAGAAAGATTTGTAGTGACATTAGGCAGAAATGGCCAGTGAAACACATAGCAGTGCTCCATAGACTTGGCTTGGTTCCAGTGTCAGAAGCAAGCATAATCATTGCTGTGTCCTCAGCCCACAGAGCTGCATCCCTTGAAGCTGTGAGCGACGCCATTGATACTTTAAAAGCCAAGGTGCCCATATGGAAAAAGGAAATATACGAAGAGTCGTCATCTTGGAAAAGAAACAAAGAGTGCTTTTGGGCATCCAACAATTAATCACTTAACATTTTTAGAGCATGCAATCTTAACTTTGTTTATTATCATTGATCACATTTTGATTTTTTTTTCTCTCCACATTAGGATAGTTTACCGAAGTATAATCTCTTATATTATACCGGTAGGACAAAAGGGAGAAAAAGGAAGCAAGATAAATGGGTCTGTAGGATGAATCGTTATTGAAAATGGAACTAAAGATAGGAGGACTGCAGGAAAGAAATTGAATAATTTAAATGTGAGTAAAGATGTCTGTGCTAGACACGTCCTTCCATGACTAATTTCTAATTGAATCTCAACTCACATTGAGGTATGGGTCCTCCTCAGTGACTTTAACTGGCTCGGGAAGATACTCCCCCACTGACCCCACCTTAGCAGCCCCGTCCCGGTTCAGGGATAGCATTGTTACCAAGGATGCATAACAGGAATGTTGGCAGAACTGGAAACTATTAAAAAATCATTATCAGACAGTCTTGATATTGTATATTTTTAGAAATATATTAAAAATAATAAACTGAAACTCATGATTTCAAAAGTTAAAAAAAAAAAAAATCCCTAACCCTAAACTCCTTGGGGAGATAGATTTAGGGTTTTCTCCCATGCCCTCATTAGGTCACCCTATGATTAAACAAACATTTTTCCTTGCTGCAACCCGGTGCCTCAGCACGCTGATTTCCTCTGGTAATGAACTTACTGCAGTTACAATCTGACGCTATCTCCAGGTAGAAAGTGTCAGAATTAAATTAAATTGAAGGACACCCAGTTAGGGTCTGCTACAGAATTGTTTGATGTGTGGAGAGACAACCCCCACACATCAGGTGTCAGAAGTGTTGTGGTGAATGACTGTTGAGCGAGTCTGTAGTTGTGAGGGAGAAAAAGACACTGCTTTTTTCGTCAATTCTCAAAACAACCCTGTGAGACTGTAACTGCCCAACAGTTTCCCCTTGCCTGCTACCTAGGCAGAGCCAGTTTATCAAGACAGGGAAATTGCAATGGGGAAAGAGTAAATTCATGCAAAGCCAGCTGTGCAGAAGATAGTTTTATAACTCAAATCAGTCTTCCTGAGCATTCGGGCATCAGAGTATGTATGTATGTATGTATGTATGTATGTATGTATGTATTTATGACAGAGTCTTGCTCTGTAGCCCAGGCTGGAGTGCAGTGGCGTGATCTTGGTTTACTGCAACCTCCACCTCCCAGGTTCAAGCAATTCTCTGCCTTAGCCTCCGGAGTAGCTAGGATTACAGGCATGCACCACCACATCTGGTGAATGTTGTATTTTTAGTAGAGAATTTTGTGTTTTTTGTTTTTAGTAGAGAATCTTGTTTTTTTTTAATTTTTTAAATTTTTTTAGAGATGGGGTTTCTCCATGTTGGTCAGGCTGGTCTTGAACTCCCGACCTCAGGTGATCCTGCCCGCCTCGGCCTCCCAAAGTGGTGGGATTATAGGTGTGAACCACCACACCCAGGCGGGACAGGCAATTTCTAAGGGGATACAAAATGAATTATTCCACATCCTCCTACTTGTGTGCAGATATATCCTGAAGTAAAGCTGAGCTGAACCCTAAAGGGTAGTCGGGATTTAGACAGGAGAGAGGAAGGTGAAAGAAATGGATGACCAGGTGCACTGGTGTGTAGCCAAAGTGGGAGGATCAATTGAAGCCATGAGTTCAACACCAGCTTATGCAACAAAGCAACACCCTGTCTGTAAACACACAAACAACAAATAAAAGAAATGGATGAGGGAATGAGGAGAACAGTAAAATAGTCACTAAATGTGTATCATGCATGTGGGCTGGGTGCAGTGGGTCATGCCTATAATCCCAGCACTTTGAGAGGCCGAGGTGGACAGATCATTTGAGGTCAAGACCAGCCTGGCCAACATGGTGAAACCCAGTCTCTACTAATATTACCAAAACAAAACAAAAAACAATTAGTTGGGCATGGTGGTACATGCCTGTAATCCCAGCTACTCAGGAAGCTGAAGCAGGAGAATCGCCTGCACCCAGGAGGCAGAGGCTGTAGTGAGCTGAGATCATGTCACTGCACTCCAGCCTGGGTGAAAGAGTGAGACTTTGTCTCAGAAAAAACAAACAAACAAACAAAAACACACACAAAAAATAAATGTGTATCATGTGCTTTATACTATGTTAGTGACAGAAATACAACAGTGAGCAAAACAGACCTCAGCCCTACCCTCATGGAGCTTCCAGTCTAGTGGAGGAGACAGAGACAGGAATAAAGAACCACCTATACACGTATTTTTTTTTTTTTTGAGACGGAGTTTCGCTCT